GAAAAAGAGGCAATAAACAAATGTCGTCACGGGCGTGAATCAAGCTATGGCCAAAGGCAAGAAAGAGATGAAGAATTTACTCAGGCATTTTGGAGTCCCCATCCTCATCCTCATCCACACCACGTAATGTGGGATAAAAGACTCCCTCACTTGGAGACTTGGCCTCTTCCCTGGGCTGCTCAGAAGCAGCACGACTGGCAGTCTCAACTCCCTCCATGGCATCAAGTCCGGGAGTAGGAGAAGCCGAGGAGCTCTGCACTCCATATTCATCAGTACCAGCCTCGAGCAATTCTGAAACCAGGCGACGCAGGTTCTCAAGAAGGCGGACCTTCTCAACCCAGGCAACGTTGACATCCCGCTCGGCGACTTCGGTGGCCGCTTGCGCAGTACGCTTGACTGCCTCCTGGTCAGGATCCTCCGAAGTACCCGATAGAGCGGGGTCAATTAGGCTCTCAGAGATGTGAGCTGCCTTGGTGGGAGTGCGCTCGCCGTCATGCTTGCTATCCTGGGAGATGTCCATGCGGTCCTCGGTGGCAGCACGCTCGGCCGGCCGGGCGCGTTGCAAGGTACCACCAGTGTAGCGGCGACGATCATCGTGGTCATACGCACCACTCAGGGTAGAGGGCGGTGCGGCACCGGAGGTGGTCGGGTAGCCTGCGGACATGCTGTCGGCGACAGTGGCCGACGGCAAGCGAGGGTACATACCCGGGCCGCTCTCATGGGGAGGAGACACGCGGTGAGCGTGGTGCATGGAGATAGGAGAGCGGTTGGAAGTGTATGACTGTGCGCTGGAAGGCGGGGTCAGAGCCGGGGTGCCGACCGAGGGGGAGTGGGCGGAAGCAGCCCCCATGGGGGTTGAGGCGGTTGCAGTAACGTGGCTTGGCGGGAGCTGGGTTGGGGGAGAGTGGGTGGCGCGGTAGTTCATGCCACCATGCACGTAATGCGCGCCGGGCTGGGCAACGCCAGCAGCAGCCACATTCTCATCACTTTCGTAGATAGTGTTCTGCATTTGCTCGAGGAACTGATCGATGTTGATCAAATCGTTCTTAGTCCGGACATTTGACATGGGGGGAAGGTGGTAGCCAGGTGGCTGAGAACCGCCAGGACTGTAACCACCACCGCCACCGCCGACCGCAACAGAGGCGGGCATTTGCTGATATTCAGGCACGGGGCCATTGAGGAAGGGAAGCTGAAGGGCCTGCAGACCAAGCAGACGTTGGCCGACCGCAGCATAGGAATTAGGGTCGAACTGGCGACGCTTCAGGTCGCCAAAAAACTCGTTCAACGCGTCATATCCGCGCTTACGATCATAGGGGTGGCCTCCCTCTTGTCCTTGACTCAGGGCATAGTATACATTGCCATAGGAATGCGGGTTAGCAGCCTGAGGTGGAGGGTGTGGCTGGTAGTACTGCGGGGGCGGCGCGTGTGAATATTGGCCATTGATACCATTGATAGGGCTCTCGAAGTAATGTGTGGCAGCAGCATAACCCTTAGGGTTTTGGGGGAACATCATATCAGGATGCTTCATGCCGGGTTCGGGGGAGCGGATCTCGGAGTCGTCGGCATGAGTCTTGACATGCTTCTTCAAATCCTGGGGACGCTTGAAAGCCTTCCCGCAGAAGTCGCACTTGTGAGGCTTGAGTGGTACATGAACGCGGATGTGGGAAGTGATATGATCACGTTTGACTGTTGTGGTGTTGCAAGTGCCCCACTGACAGGTCAGGTTGAGGTTGTTGGTGCTTTTGCGTCCAACGTGGCGCTCACAAACATGCTCCTAAACAGTAATCATTAGCATCTCTTCTTTCGTATTGAAGTTAATTGATCAAGCTTACATATAGAGACTCGGCCGTAGGAGACTTCTCAGTGCATCCGACCCACTGACAAGGCAACTGCTCACCGGCGCCATTCATGGATGGGCTGTTCACCGCCGCGGTGGCGGCGGCGGCAGTCGCTGTGACCGAGGCGGATGGAGTAGGGGTTGCTTGAATCGGTGCCGGTTCAGAAACAGGCGCAGGCAAGGTCGCCGTAGTAGAAGGGGTATGATTTTCCGACATGATGCCAAGAATACTTGATCTGGAGTTGGCGGAAAGCCTAGAGATCAAAAGAGCACAAAAGAGCACAAACCAAGAAGATCACACAATTATAGAGAAGAAACAGCCTATAAGTATACAACGTAGGCGAGAAGGAAAAAGGGGGGGAAGAGTGAGAGAGAAAATGGGGGGGTTTCTCCGCAAGAAGAGGAAAAGGAGCCGAGCCTTTGCCCAGAAAATACCGCTTTGCTAAGCCTGGCGGAAGGACAAGGAGAGAAAGCAGAAGACCAAGACCGGGCCAAGAGTCGGTGCGGGCCCCAAGTACCAAGAGGCGTTGGCGCCATGGCTTTTGACTGGTGGACCGAAGGGGGGAACGAGGGGCTGTGTGGGAGCATTCCACAGCTAACACGTAGCACAGTAGGGTACAGTACGGTACGAGGCCAATTTTTACAATTCCTATCATTTTTATAATTTTTACAATTATGTACATGTATTTGAATATACCTAGGTAATTTCTAGGGGTTGTATATACGGCTGAAGATAACTCCGTACGTAACTGGTAACCTACCTTGTATGTATCGTATGACTAAGCGGTTTAAGTACCTAGGTTCTTACCTAGGTACTTCCGTTTACCCTAAATCGGGTTAGTGCAAACACACCGTAAATTCAAAAGGTAAATTATTAACAGATAACTTACATCTTACGGGCACAAATGTTCTAATATTAAGAAAGTAAATGAAGTTGAGAATGAGACAAGGAGTGGCGTATTCGTTTCGCCAAGCCAACCTTCCAAGAAACATCCCATGGGCAATGCTTCTTGGCAGCCAAGTGATTCCTCTTGCCAATAATTCCCGCTCCGGGCACCAAGACTCAAGTCTTGGAGTCTTGGAGTCTTGGTATGACCAAATTCATATCCCTTTCGTATAAACTTTGTCCGAGTGTGACAAGTCCTCTGATTTAATCCGGCTGCCTAGTGCCCTTGGTTACGGCCGGCATGCATCAGTCGGATTCGGATTCCGCGGGAGATCTGGAGATATTTTTACATATTTTTACATGTAACCACACATGTTCTATCTGTCACTTTACATATGTAGGGGCTAAGTCTAATTCTATATTCTATTCTATTTGTAACATTTCGGTCTGACCTCGGAACATGTCAAACTAACCCCCCTATCCAGGTGATATATAAATATTTACTTACTAAGCTTGTCATCATCCCGAGGTCTTCACAAGGGCCTAGCCCAAGCATTCCAGTTACTCCTTGGAGCATGGCTTGGCCAGTGGCTTAGCCAACCGAACCCAAACCCACGTGCGAGTCTTCTCTCTCTCTCTGCGCAAGTGCCACCTCACCTTCCCGAGCGGGTCCTCCGCTTTGGCTGGTACCAACTCCAAACATTCAGCCCAACCTTCGTCCCCTTCGTGACAGGGAACGCAGCGTGCCAAGTCTCCGGATACCCTGTCCCATCCGGCCGAAGATTCTCCCAGAATACTGCATTACCCTTGATAGGCTTGAATGTGATACCCATCTCCCCCTTCCCCTTCCCTAACCCATCCCGCTGCTCACACTCCAGGAACCGACACCACCCCTCCCCATCAGGCATCCTCAACCGTGGAAAATTCGTCCCCCCACCCTCACAGTCCGCATCGAGATACACCATAAACGTGCTAAAACGATCCCCGCCCCGCGCCAACGACCCGGCCCAGTCATAGTGGTGGCGGTAGTGGCCGGAGGCATTGTAGCGCTGAGCCCACATGCGCTCGATGTATAGGTCCGGACGCCAGCCCTGGAAGGCGCGGGCGCGATCTTCCAGACAGCGGATTGTGTCATCGCGGTCGAGAAGGGCACGGTCGGAGAGGCGTTTGGTTGGGTCTACTCGTTCTGTCTGGCCGTCGTAGACGATTGAAGGGGTATATTTGTTCACGCTGGGATTCGGGGGAGGTTTGTTCGGTTAGCTTGGTCTGTGATTATCTTGTGTATGTGTTTGTGTGTGATAGTATATATCCGTGTGTCTCGCGGGGTTGCGGTTGAGATTGGTAGTTTACCTCATGTCCAGGATGTGGTTTGCTTCGGTCTCTGAGATGAAGTTCTCGATATATATGACCAGTGGTTCGCGTGAGAGGAGATGCACGCGGTACCCCTCTGTGCTGGGGCAGTTGTATGGTACGCCATCTTCGGGGCTGATGAAGCTGTCGTCGGTGAGGTTGATGCCAGGTCCTGGTGCATCGGACTCGTCGAAAAGGTCGACGCTGTCCTCGCGTGGTGCTAGCAAGCCCGGGAAAAATCCTCGCACTAGCGGGTCGAGGATGAATATATACACCGGGATGAAGTAGAGGGCCCAGGTAAAAACGGTAGAAAACTTTGGAAGTGATGCCATTGGGTTGGCTATAAATAGTCACGGGGATATGTAGCCAAGTAAATGTACAAGGGGAGATTTGGATTATTAGCTCTCTCCATGCGACCGGGGCGGAAGCTTGCGGATGCTACAGTTGATCCGTCTCTGGGTATAGATTAAGGCCCATAGGCAATGAAAGAGGAATATGGTCAAGAATGGGTGTTGTAGCGTAGGACAATCGAAGGAGAGGTTCTGGACGTTGGAAATGTCCAAGTATGTGGGTCAAACAGATTGTGGGCTAACCCGAAGCTAAGATGAGTATGACTCTTCATTGGAACATTTGGTATATTCTTACCTGTCTATTATTACTAGAGTGTATATCTTATACATCGTGTTATTTAGAAAAATACCTACGTCTACAGCTATACGGAGATAAGGTGTTGGAGGAAAATGCGGGAGTAACTTATTCGTTAAATATACTGATTCGATTTGTTGATATGTATGGTCTATGCTCTGGTCTATACTCATCCATCTCATCCATGGATGTTCATTTTTCCTGATTCTTCCCCCTTGGAATGCTTCACCCAACAATCGACATTCCAATCGCAAAAGAGACCCACGAGACCAGATCGACTGTTCATGTGCGTACACGATGGACGGTCAGCCATCCCTCGAGTTCCTTTGTCGATGAGCCTCGCGACGTATCCTCGATCCCAACCTGAACCTTGGGTGCAATAGCCGGCGCAAAGAGAAGGTGATTTACAGCTAACAGTATGCCAACAGTATACCAAGGCAGGGATGCCGAGCTACCCGATTCTTTCCATCGTAAAGCTGCCAAATATACTGCCCACAGCATGAACGTAGTGGCCGCCATGCTTGTACTCCTTAGAATTGGTCAAGGCTGCCAGATAAAGACATCGCAGTAGAGTTGAATGGGTCTTATTATGCGCAGAATCTATGGCTGTTAGGGCCGTATAATGTGATAACCACTTGAAAATCCCCTCAGTATTGCCCCGGATTGCCCCCCTCTAGAAATTTGAAAAACGTCAAGAGGTTCCCATCATTATCCTTGATTGAGAACTGTCTATACCCCCACGGTGTATCCTCGACATCCTCCACAATCTCAACATCATCGAGAGACCTTAGATGATTGTAATACTCATCTAACTGCGATGTCCCTAGGGCAATCATCGCCTGGGAAGGGGTGAAATCTCCAGTTGTTGCTTTTGAGAAGTAGAAGTTGGCGTCTGCCTTTCTGCCAATGAATAAGGAGCAAAATATCTGCTCGGATGAGCCTTCCTCGGGTTTTACACTGGCAAGTTCAAAGCCGAGTTTCTCGGTGTAGAATTGAATTGTGAGAGGGATAGAACGTGATTGGAACATTGGGATTACTTTCCACGCAGATTTCAAGATTTCGGCAGACATGTTGAGGCGCGGCTGTCAGTCTTTTGATACGCTGACTGTGTGGGATCACTAGTATTGAGGGGGAAGTCCTGGAATTGAGAGTTTGCTGGGGAGGAAGGAGGAAGGGGTGCACCTAGGTAGGCATCTGCAGGCAGCAAAGGCTATCGGAAAAGGGTTGATCCTGTACCTGATTCAATTATGTATACTACTAAGCGCATACTACCTAGTATTCTACCAAAAATGGTGTACTTACCTTGCTCTTAGTCCCATTAAATCAAGTGATCGACCATCTAATGATATAGAAATTCGGTATACATTTATATATATATAGCTAAGTGAGAAAGAAAGCGAGACTCCTAACCCAACCAGGTATCAACAGTTTTTACACCAAGATTTTGGCTTTCATGATAGCATATCCTCGTAAAAAGCAGATCAAACAAATACGGCAAACTAGACCAAGGTCAAATGCTGTTGGCATTCATCCACTGAGCCCAATCCTCGGCAGACGCCCCATTGTTCGGTCGATACGCGGCATTATTGCCAAATAGATCATCAAAGGAGATCCCCAGATCCATATTCATGCCCATACTTTCATCCATGCCCATGCTGAAATCGGGCAATCCATTTGGACCGGGCATCTCTGGCTGTTGTGGGGCGGTGTCAGTTCCTAGGTCGTTCGGATTGTTGGGCTGGAAATTGTAGCCCTGCCAGACGAAATTCTGGTTCGGGATTGAGACCAGATCTGGACTGCTGATCGCCTCTGATGGAGTTTGGCTCTGCGAGATTGGGGAGTGGACGCGGGACGAGGTTCGGGAGTGGGAGGGGCGGAGGTGGCTTGGAACTGATGACTTGATCCCTGGGGGATTTGCTACAGGGTAATTCGGGAGGTTTGTGAAGTCAAAGGTTGGGGTGGAGACCCCTGCGCTAGAGTGGTCGCCGGGTGTGGCGGGTCCCATGCCTGGTACTGAATCGAAGGGATACTTCGATGGCATGCCTGAAGTGTCGTGCCGGAAGTGATCATCTTCCAAGGTAGACATGGGCTGTGTTGGATATGCGAATGGATCGTCCGATGGGAACATCATTGGCATGAGGTCTGGGAGGTTGGAGGGATTGGTGAATTGCTGAGCCCATGCTAGACTTGATGGCTCTTGAGTGGGCATAGAGGGTGTCATGCCTGATGAGGAAATATGTTCCGGGGTGGTCATAGTTTCCGTCAGCAGCTCGGGCGTGTTTGAAATCCACGTGGACTGATGATTAATGTCAGTAGAGCGATTGCTGATAGGCTGGACATTGTCCAGACTTCGTTGTCGGCGGTTCTGGTCATCGTTGACAGGAGTTTGGGACATCATCTGCACTGGGAAAGTGCTTGACCGATGTGGCAGCGTTTTCTCGAAGGAAGGCTGAAGCTTCAGTTCAGGCTCGGCAGTGTTGGATGGCGCGGGCCGCTTGAGATTGACAGGAGTCTTTGAGCTCTGACGATTTTTCAACATCTCGGGCAATGTCTTGAAAAGGCACTACAGTATAATTAGTCAAAGCCATTCCAAATTGAAGGCATGAGCACTTACGTTCAAGCTCTGGGAACACCGGTCGGCAGCAAGACTCTTCTTGGCCAATCCGGCTAGGGTATTTTTGCCCTCCATAGCATCCTTCAGGACGCCATCTTTGGCTGTAGGTGAATCCGGGTTCTCAAGCACGAAGAAGATCAAGGAGAGGATGGCAAAATAGGTTGTATACATGGTGAACCAGAAGGATCCATTGAGAAGTCCTCTCTTCTGCATTCCGGTCGTGATGTGAACAATGTTTCGGGAAACGCTGACGCAGGCAGCTGCGCAGGCATACGAGCGCTTGTCCACGCCACGCGCTTGAGAACCACCAGAAACGTAGTGGAGGAACGGGCGGTACATGACCATCTGCACGTGGGCGTAGCTTATACGTAGCAATTGCCGGACACTATTTAAATGTTAGTCAGATTGATTCAGGAAATTATCACTGTAGACCTGAGACTTACCGTTCTAGCTGCGGCGACACTTCTGTGCCCGGTCGTAGAGCAGGAGGCAATTCTTCCATCCAATTTTGCAGATCTCGCTCGATCTCCCGAATTTTCGAGTGGCTGACCATGTATCGCTGGTCTGACTTAGAGCGATAGCGAGCATTCTTGACTGGGTAGATATATTTCACCACCTTCAGAATGATATTGGAAAGACGCGTGTGTGCATTGCATCCAGCCATCAGGGGTGTATAGTTAGACGGGGGCTGAGTGATTCCTTCTGTAGTAATGTAATCGCCATCAACCTCCATTGGGTACTCTTGATCGATATCATCGTCACTCAGCATCTGAGGAAGTCCCAAGAGCGTGCTCACGTAGATGTCCATCTTGCGGATGACCCAGAAGATGCGCTTTCGAAGTTCTCGTTCAAGGGGGTTGAAGTCTGCCGCAACAGAGCGATGAAGACCTAATCGCAGTGCTGAACGAAGTGCGATTCCCACATATGAGTAGCATGTGCTCAGCTTCGCAGAGGATTGGAGGAAGAGGACCATAAAACAGATTGCCTGCAGAGAAACCAAGTCACGGCAGTCGGTGATCTCCAGCAGTTGCCGACCAGCCTTGAAGAATTGGAACCTTTCAAAGAAATTAGTCGGTGGCATAGAGCACTGCAGATTTACTATGACTTACCCTTGGCCTATTGCGCCTTCGTAGCCAGACACATCTAGAGTGCCCTGGCCGGATTCATCGTCCGAGAACAAGCAGCCAACGGCGATGACGATATATAAAAGCGGCAGGAAGGAGTTCTCCTGGTTCGTGAATTGTTCCGGGGGAGTATCGTAAATGCGATCCAGACTTGCGAAAAAAGAGGGTATGTGCACAAATTTCATCAACGAGCAGGCATGGTCGATCGCATTGTGACACAAGCGGCGCGCGACCTCCCGTGGAGGCAGGTCATGTGTGGGAGGTAATGTTGTGTCTTGAGGCGATTCGGACGTAGACTTCGGACTATCTAGCATATGCGCGGTTATCGAGGGGCGCGATCGTGCCATGGGGCCAGCGATATCTGCGGCGCCCAACTGTTTGCGCAACCGGCGGACAAAGAGAACGCCCGAGGTGTGCCCATGATAATCCCAATGACCCTGATCATCCCGATCTAAGCAGCCCGAGTTGTCGACCATGGTTTCCAATAATCCCTCGTCTGCCCCTTCTTGCACTGTGTCTTGTACAATCGACGGCTTGACATCCTCGGTCGCTTGTTTCGATTTTTGAGCGGCTGTGACTTTCTGTTCTGTCGCATGTACGTCTAGTTGCGGATCATCGAGGTCGACATTTGGGAGAACAATTCGAAGGAGAGCTTCGGCTTTTTGGAGCCGATTTTCAAGGGCCTCGACATACTGCGGGGCAGGATTTCGACGGCGGTTGGAAGGTTGGTCGTACGAACACTCTACAGACCGACAGTTAGGGCACATGAACTTTTTTCACCCCCGAGATTAAATGCATAGGGCTCTGCGTACCATAACTATAGACTGTGCAATGAGTGCATGGCTGTTTGCCATCACACTTAATTTTTTTCCTGCGACATTCGTCGCAAGCGCGGCCGACCCGTCGTCTTTTCTGTGCAGGTAGTGATTTGGGGTCTGTGGTGGAGGCATCGTGGGTAGGACTGTCATGATGATCGTCATCATGCGAATACTTGAAGTCGTTCATGGGCGCGGGATCCTCCTCATTCTCGCCAGAAACAGGGCTCGTCGTAGTCGCCATGACTGGATATCTGAGGTTCGTAAAATGCACGGAGTCATGTAAAGACAAATGGTGGCCTTGGCGGGCGATCCGAAGTGAATATCACTATCTCACCAAATGTCATGGATCGCCCTATTTTTGAATTGATAAGCAGAATCAAAGAGGAAACAGGTAGTGGAGACTGGTGCAAAGTCTGCCGGTGTTCGATTGAAAGTTCTCAGGGAGGAGTAGAATAGTAAAATTTGGAGTACTAGTTGAAGGGTCTGAGAATCTTGGGATCTTAGAATCTTAGAATCTTAGAGTCTTGAGGGTCTGGAGGGGGAAATGGAGGCGATGATGAAATGATTATTCCCGAGGGCGGTGTATGAAATATCAAAAAGGCCTCAAAAAAAGGCTTCACGATCAGAGAGGTATCAAGGTACGGAGTATTCCGTACAAAAGAACAACGTATTATCTTAAAGAAGAAGAAGAAAATAAAATGATCCAGTTCATCAAAGTTCAGTTTAGTCATGAAGAGTCATACGCCTTTTGACTGGCGGCCAGGTGGATATCGGGGATTCAATATGCGCGACGCCGATACATTAACTTCCGTCTCGGTGCGTCTTTTTTTTCTTCTCCTTCTTTTTCTTCTTTTTTTCCAGAATTTTTCCCTTTTTTTCCCCCTTCGGACTGAGGCATTTTTGGGACTTTCAGGGAGTTTAGGCATTTTCATCCAATCAGAAGTCGAAGAACTCGCTGTTAAG